CACGTGTGTGCGCATAAGGTAGAATGCCGAGTTTTACGCACGGAAAAGTGGTGTCTGGTTTTAGGACTACATTTACAGTGCTCGTACCATGACACATCCGCTACCCCCCGAGTGCTTTAATTCAAGCAACTGTTGAACAAGTTTTTCAATTTCTGAGGTCTCCACGGCTCAATCAGATAGGGCCGTTGGTTTTGTTCTGGATTATTACGTCAGGTCTGCACGACTAAAGTAAACTTTAACAACTGAAACCTATTAGTCGTACAATCCAGCGTTCGTGTACCTGGCGCCAAAGTCATGTGTAGTGTTTTGGGAACAGGTTGAGGGAGGGTAGGGTGCAGTGAAGTGTTTTGTTTGCTGCGTATTTTGAATGCAACAGCCGCATTCGCCACTAAGTGGCGGTGATGTCACCACAGCGCTTGTGCCTGGCTAGGTGCGCTTTGATGCCATGTGAAGTGTCGAAGGCTCGCTGACAGGTTACGTGACACACCCAGGTACCATGGGTTGACTGAGATGGCTGGCAGATGCACCACATGTGCTCCCTACTGTTCCAAATTGCCACGTTTTATCCGCCCGGCACTACGCTCGTTGTTGTGAGCGTCGCTCCCCTGGCCTTCGCTGTCGTTGGGGGCGACCGCGTCCAACTGCCCAGTCGCGTCCTTCACGAGCCTGCTCCGCACACACGTGCACTCGCGCAGCCCACAGACGGGAGAATTGCTGAATTTTAAGTGAAATTCAAATGTGTCTTCTACACGGACTTCCAGTCGCAGCAGCTCTTGAACAATGAAGCGGTTGGCATGGCAGGGTGACCTTCGGGTGGGATGCGCTGAATAATTCATTAGTTTTGTTGAAAACCTTTAACAATCGCCTTGAATGGAATGCTGTTGTATCTCAGCTTCCACGGGTTGGTGACGGGTTGGCATTGGTTGCCCAGTGACTCTATTATTCCAACAGGTGAACAGCGCTGGGGCGTAAAGGATAGGATTTCAATTTTAGCTTCTACCTCTCGGGAGGGTGGGATATACAGTGCTATTTCCACTCATACTTTATATAGTGTAACATATAACTAGGGCATGTATATGTTCAGTGTGTGTATGTATATGCATATATAAATGTGCTAATGTTCCCTTGATGTTAAACCTATGGTTTCTGAGCTGCATACCCGGGTTGGTAATATTCGAGGCTGTTTGTGACTCTTGGAAAATAAAGCCCCTAACACAAACAGTACTTCAAGGTAAGTCAACATTCTGAAAGTTGCTAGGTGCATGCCAGAGAGATTACTGGCTGCTACAAAGATAAACCCTGATACGACTCCCCACACACACGCACACACACACACACCTGTCCAGATAGATCGATGTGAGGTTTATTCCGACGGTAGGAGGGGAGAAGGAATCTCTAGGCGGCTTTGTCGACCGCTTCTTCGGAACCTCTGCCCCATTATCTGGGGCATCCTGAGTGGTTGCCAGGGACGCAAAGTTCGTGTTTGCTTACGTGGGAGGGGGGGGACACTTGACCCTGAGCGGTATGGCTGCTGTTTCGCATGCGTGTTATTTAAGACTGCAGTTTAGCGTCCCCTTAGTTACTTACGAAATAATGTGATTAGTTCTGCATGCGCTGGTGTATGCGCAAATTGCAAATTGCCACGTTCAAGCCAAATATCTTGGTTGAACTAATCACGGCTAAGTTTTTCTGTTCGCATTCGTTCACTAGCGTATTGTCATTAATTCTCGTCGGCTAATTTTGTGACGTTAATTTCCGTGTATCTACTTCGGATAGTTTATTTGTGTTCCTTTATTTAACTGTTTACTATGTAAGCGATGAGGATATAAGGATGTACATTTATACATGGTGCTTAAACACCGTAGCGCCATCAAAGTGCCTTGCTTCAAAAATTTTAAACAATGCGCACATTTCCACTGGAGGGATAAAAAAATATCCCTTCAAGGCAGACCCAGGGAGAGCCCTCAAGGGAGGTCAGGCAAGGGCCAGGAGGCAATGCCAAGGACCAGGCCAGCAACAGAGTCAACATTAAAATGACATACAATGTAAAGTAGAACAATTTGTGGTGGGGATCCGGAACTAAGGTACGTTGAGGCTGAGGAAACATTCGTCACTTGACTCCCTCACCCCGAGGGGAGAAGAGGAGCAGGAGGAAGGACGCGCGATAAAAACGGTGGCCATCTTCCCGTTGGCTGGTTAGTCAACTGAGCAGATGAGCTGCTTAAGGCTGCAGTTTATTTTCCTGTGTTTATTTATCTAAGTTATTTATTTTAGAAAAGCTTCACACGGATTGTTTACCAGGGTAACATTCTTTTTATTTAACTTTGAGACAATCTATTTGTGCTCGGTCAAGTTGGCCACGGCCACTGCCACACTTTGTGGATTCCGCAGAGAATCTCAGCATCTCCAATGTGCGAGAGCAAATAGGAGCAGGAGTAGATTTTTTCGGTTTTTTTCCGAAGGAAAAGCTTTTGCCACGTCCGCACCACCAACGGGGCAGCGTGCTGGCCCGAGATCACAAAGCAGGCATGTAAGTAGTAGGCTTGCTGCAAGATTCCCACAGCAGCCTGTATAAAGCCACCCTCACAAACACTCGTGACGTCATGGTGTCAACACAGAAACAGACACGTGGTCAGTGGCATCTCTCACGGAGGTCAAATTCAGGACACAGCGGAACATTGTTTTTTTTTATTTTGAAAAACATTTTTTTTCCTGTCTGTGAGACGAAAAAAGATCACCTATGATAGCCCCCCCCCCCCCCCCGCTGCCATGAAGGGAAAGGGGCAGCAGCAGCGGGTGGGGGCAATGGAGTGGCTGAGGTCACGGAGGCTCACAGCTCTCGGAAGCGTTGGAGCAAGATAGGAGCTGAACCACAAGAGCAGCCTGGCACAGCTGCTTGGGTCTGTTGATCATGGAAACTTGTTAATTGTCTGATTCTGAGCCCACCACCGAACACGACACTGGATGGGGGTCAGGGCTAGAGTTACTTCATTGATAATTGGACCTGCAACCACGTCGCAATATCTGATGCACGTAATCGTCCTCGTGTCATTGCCTTGCCGAGTCGTTAATTTTTAGTGTAGATGGACTGTAAGGTGTGGTAGATTAGGGGAGAGCGTGGTTGTCGCAGAGCCAGTTTTCGCATGAATTGCGTAGCACTGGCCATGAAGCTCATTTTGTTGTCCACGTAAAAAACAAACACACACACACACACCGACAGTCCTCGTGCGGTCTGGTGGGAAGAGATTTACATGGAAACAAAACGGCAGAAAGTCACCTTTAAAAGGCAGCCATTGGCTTGTGGTGCCACCTGCCCCCTGTCCAGCCACGTCTGACCCCTCGGCGCATCTGCGTGCCTGGCTGCGAGTCGCCCCAGTTTAAGCGCCGTCTGCTGCGCCGTGGCACATCCTGCCACCTGCCACGCACGGAACCATTTTTCAGGCCCGTGATTGCCCCAGCGTCTCGTCCCGCTTTCAATCCTCGTCCCTTCCTCCTTGTTTTTTGGCTCGTGGCGTGATGATGGCAATTTACCGTGATCCGCATGCCGCCCAAATGGCACGGATTATATAAGTGTTTTTTTTTTTAGATAACAGCAGGATGGCCCTGGAGTTGATCTATTTGCCTCTTAAGAAATTTGGCGGTTTGCATAAGACTGTTGTCTGGTAGTGCCGAGAGACTTTGTCAAAGGCAACACCTTGTCCTGTTATGCAGGCAGCAACTCAAGACCATATGAATGTGTTCATTCTCATTTATCTGGTGGTTCGCTTGTAATTCGAGAACCCAAACTAGTAGATGGATGATCACACCTAAAAAATCGGCAAACGTAAATTCCTTTTTACCAACTTGCAAGTTCAGTTTATTGAGAGGGTTTGACCTGAAATGGAAGGTGAGTAAATACATTAAACGGAGTGAAATATGCCACCTCATTGCCATCTGCGAGTTGAGAAGCAATATATTTTAATTTAAGACCAGAGAGTGCACAAGAGAACGTGTTTGGACAGGATGCAGTGAGTGAGTGCGACAGACATCTATCAACTGCAGGAGTGAGACCGTAGCAAAGGAGCCACTGAATCTGGTTTAAAATATTGATGAATCATTAGCAAGATTAGAGAGCCATCATGTGCCGATGGCCTGCTGTAACTTGTAAAGTCGATACCGTACCTGCTTTTAAATGAGAGTAAATTAAACTAATTTATTGCGACCATTGTCAGCAAAATGTTTCGGAAATGTAAAAATTTTCCTTGCGGGAGATTATTTTTTTCCGCATTTTGACCATGAAGTTGTTTCCATTCCATTGTACATGCACGGTTTGGTAAAAAAACATTTCACTGAACCAGTTATTTCTCTGGCATGCAAAAGGCGCCACGGTTAAGTTTAAACTTAACAGCGACTGCATCTTTTCAGCATGCTTGATGTGGGGGTATTAAGCCCTGGCGCTGAGCAAGCTGAGGTCCCCCCTTTAACCAAAGCTGCCAGAGGCTCATGAAATATTCAGACAACTTCAGGGATTGTGTTGGCATTGATGTGCCAGCCGATTCCCAAAAAGACACTCGCCGCCATCATCATCGACGCTGTCTTACAACAGAAAATATATCTAGGAGGTGATATCTGATTAATTCTATGCTTTTTTTATTGTCATAAGTCGATCTTAATTTATTCATCCACACGGGCGATTCGGTGAATCGTCGCAATTCGCGGTAGGCATTCTATCCAATAACGTCTCGTTCGTGTCCTCACTCGTTTGCTCTGCCTACTCTGTGCAGTTGTGTTCACGCTTCGTGAGCGCGAATGTAAAGACGTACAAATCTCATATGATTTGCATACAGTTTGAATCACAACGAATCCGAGTATGATCAATCGATGCATCGTTACGACGATGGTAACGAACGGCATAGATTCTAACAAAAGGGTTACGGTCCTCGAAATTTTCTGCTTTCGTCTCTGAGTTGACCCCCCCTCCCCCCCCCCCCTTCCTCTCTTGGCCGTGTTGTCTGCGGCAGGGTCTGGTGCTGCAGAGGCTGGGGCGCGGCGGGCTGGCGGAGAAAGTTCTGCGCGACGCCGTGCGCGTCAACTCGACGGCGCACGAGGCCTGGAACAGCCTGGGCGAGGTGCTGCAGGCGCAGGGCAACAGCCAGGGCGCCACCGAGTGTCTGCTCGCCGCCCTGGAGCTTGAGGCCACCAGCCCCGCCGTGCCTTTCACGGTCATCCCGCGCAGCCTGTGAGGAGAGGCTGTGTCGCCAAACGCTCCCCGCCCACAGCAACTCAGCCTGCTCTCCCCCTGCTCCCCATCTTCCCCACTTCCAGGCTGCTGCTCCGTAATATCCTTGAAAGCAGATTTTAGCATCCGCGCGTCCACGCTTGGTTATGTTTTTTTCCCGCTCCAGTAAAATAAAAAACGTTGCACTGAAAATGATCTTTTACGCCGGGAAGAAATACGAATGTAGAAGAAGACGGTCAACCTTCGACAGGACTTGGATTAGCAGATTTCGTCTTGACGAAGGGACGACAGACCGCGGTGACGTAAGGTTGACCAATTTGTGTTTCAATATTGTGACGTCAAAGTCATTTCCCTCGTGTGCCCCGCTGAGTGCGCTTTCCGACACACACTCTCAGTGGGAGACTGTGTGTCTTAAATAAACGCAGGTGAGGCGTTGTAGCGACCAAGCTCTTTGTTGTTTATAAAAATAGCTGGTGGACCATAGAAGCGGTATCTCGACAGGTGAGCTAACGTTCTGAATACACCACACAAATACTCGAATCGTGGGGAGGCTTGGCAGGAGAAGGCTTATGGTTGAGTATACAGTCCTGATCACTTTCAGCTATTGTGTATATTTTTTTTTGGGCCCAGTAAACCTACGCACAGGTGGCAAGGACAGGTGAGATTTGTCTTCGATTCCACCCTGGCCAGTGCCACCGTAACCTCCTGCTCGAGGCATCCAAAGGGGGCTCTCCACCCCAGTGTGGTTGTCCGTTGGTTGACGTTGCCGGAGAGAGCCTCCAGTATTTCCCGCACGAGCTCTCCCTAATAGACGGCAGGAATTAGCACCACGAAAGATGCTCTGAAGGTGGATCCACATTACCTGAGAGAGGATGCTGGAGAACGGTTTAGCCATTTCTCTGCCCTCGCCTGAGCTTGAGGTACCATCTTCTCTGTTGGGGCATTGATCATGCTGGAGTAGTTGACTGGTGAAGAGTTTTTTTTATATATTTGTTTCGTTTCTGGCTGCTGTGTATTCTAGGCTTTTGGGCCTGTATTCAGCGACTGCGATAACAGAACAACCAAAGTAGTCCGTGCTTCGTAATACGACTCACTTTACTAATCCTCCAGCCCTGTGTTTTGGATCTGCTCTCAACTTCTTTCAAAGCTATTGGAGATGGGATCGTAGCGTTTCGGATGCTTAGTTTCGGAAAATTCACTTCGCTAAGTACCTCGAAGATGCTCGGCGATAAACGTGCCACTCACGTGCGCGCGCACGATGGTGCGATGACAAAGGCGTCTCATTGAACCTGTTGCTTTTAGTCTGACGTACCCCTTCTAGGACCGATGGCGCACTAATTGCCGCACAATGACGGTCGGAAGGGGGGGTGGCGGGGGGGGGAATCGCCCAATTGCCCCTGGAGGTGTTGGCTTTCTCTATCGGTGGCGTCTCGCTCCAGGGTGAGCTTCCTTCGCTTTCTACTGTGACAGTGAAAAGTGAGCATGGTGGGGGGGGAAGGGGGTCACGCACGTGCCGTTTACGAACGCCGCCTGCGCCGGCACAAGCGAGCACTTGCGCTCTCCTCGCGCAATCGCCCGTCCCCAAGGGCGGCTCACCTTATACGAGCCCAGACCCCCCCCACCCCCCACTACACCACTGCTGCCCCCCCAACCTCACCCCGACCCTGATCAGTTACACTCTGTCTACCACTTCAGTGTTCTCCAAGCTAAGGACTGCCTGCCAGTGTGACGTGTCCGGTTCACTTATTCCACCGTGTTAAAGCTGTTAGACGCTTGGACGTGCCGAGTCGCGTGCAAATTGAATGATTTAAAGTCTGTCATCCGTCTGCTGTGGTGGTGGTGGTGGTGTTCTATGGCGATTCGGCACAAGCGGGTTTTTTTTATTTCCATAAAGCAGGGATCTGTGCTAGCGCTAAACCTTAATGCGTTGTCGTGAATATCCGACATGAGCTTTTTGAAGATCTAATCGCTCATTGCCTGTTTTTGCTTTTCAGGATTTAATTGTATATTTGGCACTGCCGCAAGTGGGCAAATGTAACTTTAAAGTTTCGTGTTGAATTTTGTTAAATTAAAGTATATGGAACCTGTATATAGTGGAGGCTAAAGAGATAGTCACACTGGGTTTTTGTACTTTCCGTAGTCTTTTATGTTCTATATATTTGTGAAGTCTACAAAACACTTACAATTATCCATCCTTGAACAGAAAAGAGAATCCCTGTGTGTTTTAAATTGAAAGCAAAAGTTAATGTATTTAATTTCTTGATTGCGATCAAAATAAACTTTAACCTAACAAATGTTACGGAAGACGTTCTCATTTACTCTGTCAATAGCCAGCGCTTCTCGTGTTGTGTTCGTTGTACGAGTGGGACACGGAACAGACGTCACAAGCGGTATTTGTCGGATCATGTCGCTCTTCCAACTGGGAAAGCCCCAAAGCGTTAAGTCGAATGCGAAATAGACTAAGGGTACATTTGCGTAAGTACACCTTTGACGCTTACATCATTCATTTCCCCCCCCTCATTTTTGCACTAAAAATTGATGCATATATTCACAATACAGTATGCAGTGTTTTGAATCTTGTTCTTCCTGTTGTTGGTTAATTGTGCAGCATTGTGTTTTGCAATAATATTAATTAGTTTTTAATAAGAGAGCCCTTTACCCAGCAAACCTGGCTTGTAATCAGACATTAGTTTGCTAGTAGGTGGCGATAATTGTGGCGTAAAATCCTAAATTAGTCATTTGCAGGTTGGCAAATTTGTAGCGTGACGCAGGCACACAATGGTGAATGACGTCATGGGATCTTTTAACCTCCAATTGTGAAACATTATTTGATAAATAATTCCGTTTAATAATCATTAACTTAAAAATATGGACTCTATCGAATGGTGGTCGGGAAGGCTAATTTTGTATTCTAGAGCGTTTCGTAAGAAAGAAAAAAATACACTTTATAATGGTCCAACTTCGCTCTGCCACATCAGCCTTATTTTTAGATCACTTCACTGAGGGGGATGCTTTTCATTTAGTTCATATAGTATCTAGATATTTGAATGTTCATACGGTATTATAAGTACCCATAAATATATAATATCTTCACAATGAGACCTCCTTTACCAGTGGCAAAATATAGTAGTAGGTTTTTACCCTTTAAACTGGTACAAAACTGACACCTTTATACAAGGCATCATGTTTGCAATAACCACAACACAAGCAGTCAAAATACAAACAAAAATAAACAACTCTGATAATGATATGCACTGTTCTGATAATGATATGCACTGTCCTGCATATCATCAGAGTTGTTTCTTTTTGTTTGTATTTTGACTGCTTGTGTTGTGGTTATTGCAAACATGATGCCTTGTATAAAGGTGTCCGTTTTGTACCAGTTTAAAGGGTAAAAAGCTACTACTATATAATATCTTCCAAGCTAAAGTGGGGCTGGGTCGAAGGGGTGACGGCCGGTGGTCGAGACTTTAACAGGATGGCAACTGAGGGAGCAAACAAACCAGAAAAAATAAGTCCAATGAAATTGTCTCGTGTGCAGGTGCAAGGTGGTGCATTCTTACATTGCATGACCGTGAGAGATGTGCAACAGTTGAGGCTTTTATCCAGCAGGGGAATGATCACGGGCTGATAATGATCAAGATGGTGTATATCTATAATGTATTCTCTTTCAAAATAAGCTTTGTCTTTGAATATTTCCTTTTTTTTCATTGTTCCACTGAGCCACGCGGCTGGGTGCCAATTGACACGGCATGCAATGATCATTTCATTCGCCTCGTCGCTTCTTGCCCCCAACGCCAGATCCCGGTGTCTTGTGAGGCCAGCAGAGTATTCCGTTTTGGTTTATTGACGCGGCACGGCAAATTTCCAGTGGGAAAACCACCCAGACCACGATGAGTGTCCCACGCTGGCTCAGTTCGGGTGTGCCAGTGGAAAAGGGGTATAAATACGTATACATCCGGACCAAGTCACAGGGATCAACTCGGAGGTAAATCGCATGCCGTGATGTCACTCGCATAGTTTAAATTCTCAGCAGCGTTGGTGTTGAGAAATAATTGGTGGAAATTCACACAAAAAATATTTTTAGCTTACAATCATGCTGGGTCATGGGAGTTCCTGCACCATTGTTTCACTCTTTGCCTGCATTCGACATTTGTTGAAACACACATTTGTTGAGCATCACCTTCTAATCCCAGCACCAGGCCACACAGGGTAAGGAAGGGGAGTGGGAAGATGGAACCGGGTGGGGTTTGGCCCACAGCCTCATTCATGGCTTGACAGAACATGGGGGGAGGGGTGGACCCAGAACTTGGACCACGTTCCTGCTTCGAGACCATCACTGGGCCCGGCAGAGAGCAGTCTCCGGTGCTCGTCGAAACGAGGCGAAAGGGTTTCCGTTCTCGGCCGCGTCGTGATGCAAGCCGAGGGTGGGCGTCATCGCGGTTTTTTGTGTGTGTGCGCCGCTGCATGCAAACGGGATTGCGTCGGCGGATGCGTCTGTCGTGACCGATTTGTGTACTCGAGATGTTTCTTGTGATGGGATCGTCCCCTCCGCCCGCACGCCCGCGCGCCAATTCACATCTGAAGGCACCGATGGAAGAAAAAAAATGCAAAAAAATCCGTGATGTTCTCGTGCTCAATTTAATTAGCTCCAATGCTAATGGGTGGCTTCACGCAGGCTGGATTTCAAATAAACACATGCAGGCACCTCGTTGCTCAAACGCTGCAATTGGAATTAATTAAACTGCAAGAGAAGGATGCTATTTGTGAGGATAGCACTGCAACGGATTAAGGTTATTTTATCGGGGTTATTTACTTAACCGCTATATGCCTTCGTGCTGGAGAGAACCCAAATGGGGTGCAATTGCTGAGCAAATGTGACACGTGTGGCACATGTGGCACGGCACACGTACATCAGCTCATCACTCGCAGTGTCCGCAGCTCAGTGTCGTGCTGGGAATCGATGACCTCTTTGTCTCAGAGGTGGCGGCCAAAACCTCAGGACTGCCCCACTGTCCTGTCAACCCAAATGATTAGCCATGCACAGAAATCGCAGTGGCTACAGTACTTCCCTGTCCGTCCAAAAAGATGGGGAAACCGATACAAGTCTTAACTCTCGGTTGCTTTCAACGAGGTTAGATATCCCAATGAAAAGATGGTCCGAAAGGCACAACACTGGGTAAGCAATGAGTGAGCTAATCTGGGCGAAGGTGAATGATCGTACAGTTAGTGTGCAATTCCGCTGAGAGTGTTGGCATTGGATCGATGTTTTGAGTCCCACTCTGGGGCATTATTATAGAACGCCATTTGGCGTTAGGTGGTGGTTAATGAGCTGAGCTCGTGACATCTTACGCAACAGTTAATTGTCGTGTGTCAGAGTCCAAATTCCAAATAACCCACAATTGTGATAACATTTATCGCCGTTGGGTGTGTGACCGTTTGGGCCCTTTGACCCTCTTACATGTACCTTGAGCTCGTGGTTCGTAGTACAATATGAACGTCATCGTCTGGTTAGAACCGGTTTCCACTAAATAAACAAAGTTCGTACGTATGGGGGGAGCATACGTTCTTTTGATACAAAAAAAATACATTTTGCAAATGAAAATTGTGTTGCACACAAGCAGCAGACAGGCGTTGATGTGCCAGTTTCACAATCTCCATTGCGCCAGTGTAAATCTGGCATTCCTTATTGCATCACGTGTCGCTAAGCTGGAAATATAAGCGTATTTCACATCCACAAACACCCGACAGTTGTGATAACAAGTGCTCCATTATAGAAATTCACTACACTTTCTGCAAATTGACTATATAGACATGCAGTGGTTGTCCTGCGTGAATAGCTGAAGGAAAATATTAAAGAATTGGCTGAAGCCTCTAAAACAACAATTTAAAGGCAGTCCTTCACATTCACACCTCCAGTGTCTCACACCACAAACCTTCGAGTACCTTCGATGCACGGCCGCGTAATAGCGCCCGTGAACGCACACATTCCGCAAACTTGAGAACATTTCTCAAGATACATTTTGACGGTTATTCACGTTACCTCACTGCTCTCATTGTAATTATTTATTTGCATTTTTTGTCCGAACGTGGAACGGTCTCGTGAGTTGGCGAGGAAGAGTGAGGTTTCCGTTCGCTACATCGGAACATTAACAATCGTAATGTTTTTTTATTTATTTGTGCTTATGTAGCGTATGGAGAGATTGCAGTCGCATTTATACGTGATAAAAATCTAAATTGCACTGTGGTACATTTGTTCTTTTTTAGGGAAATCCATCTCGTGATATTGTTTCAGTTTGGATCTTCCTTTGGGATGTTAAGCCAATTTATTTTTAAGGACATTATTTGGTCAAACTGCATTGGCAATGGTGCAAAAGTAGAAAATTCAACATGTTCACCAATAACGCTGCCTTTGCAGGAAAAAATGCACAATAGGTGACCTTGCGTGCTATCACGCTTCCTCATAACCGAGAGAGGAAAAAACAGATAGTGGATAAGAGACTGAACTTTACACCGTGGCTAGATAACATTTAAATGTAAAACAAAAACTGGTGAACATTTGCTTCAATTTGCATATAAACAATAGCCTACCAGTAGCTATTGAGTAACGGACAAACGCTGCAACGATCAACAGGTATTACGAAATCAACTAATTTGTGTCAAAAGATAAGTTGCAGTACAGTGTTGTTGGCCATTGAATTTTGGGTTCGTGGGGTTGATGGAAGCGTCATGAACATTAGCCACTTGGCGTTGCATTCCAGGGTTCAACTTCCATTTAGATCTTCATTTATTATAAAAAGGCGAACGATGTCTGTAACAACTCGGCTGGCTTCCGTTCCCTTGATCGTCTGCTTCAGCTTCGAAGACGATGTATATATTTGTAAACATTTAATTTAATAGTGACATTTTATTCTTATCTTTTATATCTCTTTTCATTGATATCGTCTTTGTGTTGTATCCATCTTATATCTGTCTTGTCTATCTTTAGATACATCTTCTATTGGAAAATATAAGTTTACAAAAAAAGTGTGATTCTTTATTTAAGATCTGTTGGATCGGCGTACGTTATGCTGGGTACAGCTTAGTATGATTGGAACATTTCATGAACCTTTTACGACACTTTTAAAAAGAGTTTTAATTAATTACACAATGTTTAATTTGAGTGCCTTTTTTTATTTTAGTTTATTTTTAGCCCTCGCTGCCCAATTTTACTGAGACATCAGATGCGTCGCATAAACAAACGTGCGTCCCAACGGGAGGTGCACAATATATGCGTCCACATAGGGACGAGGTTTTGTC